TCTTTCCACAGTCAGTACATTTATACGGCCTCTCTCCTGTGTGAGTCAGTTGGTGAGAATGGAGGTTCCCAGACCGTGTGAAACTCTTTCCACAGTCGCGACATGTCTGCACTCGTTCTACTTTGTGGATCTGTTGCTGCAAGTGATTTTCATCTGATTTAATAAATTCTCTGTCCTGGATGGATTCTGTAAACAATCTCTCCTGATTTTGTTGCTGCATACAATCATTTTTGCTGAATGGAGTAGAGTGTCCTGCTGAAACCTGACCACGTGATCCAGGATGTTTTCTGATGTGCTTGTGAAGAAAATTGACAGTGGTAAATGCAACATTGCAGTGAGGGCAAGGATGACACTCATCATCTTCTCCCGCTGGTGAAGAATGAAGGAAAATTGTCAGTGTAAATGAAACCTATAGAAGCTGCTTTTAGAAGTACAATTCAACAATGTGCGGGGGTGGAGGGGTCGGTATTTTTGAATTTTATGACAACCTTTATCAGCTTTGAGTCACAAGATAGCATTCTGGTTACTGAGCCAGATTTGTGGGTCATGTCCGGTGCTAGGGATGTGTGCTTATAAGACAGATTAATACTGCAACAGCACGCTTGAGGGCTGCACTGTCAACCTTTCAAACCAGGTCCCTGGCTGTGTATTAAAGCAGACAGCAATCACATGGTTCCAAGCGAAGAAGAACAGGATGTTTTGCTGGTGCTGAGGCCAATATTTATCCACTGAGCAACAACATTCAGTCAGATGGTCAGATCAGTTATCATATTGCTGTTAGTGGGATTTTTTGTGTGGAAACTGAGGTGTTCTTTTTGTCTCAGTGACAGTCATTACATTTCAAAGGCAATCTTTTATATCTAAAGAACTTTGGGACGTCCCTAATACATCCAACAGTGCAGCTCTTTCTTCATCTAGAAGTATCAGGATGATTTTTGAGGGAACTGTTCCTGAATTCAGTACCTACTTCACTGTGTATACAGTTTTTGTCTCAGAGACAACAACGGGGTCAACAATAAGGTGCCACATTATAAAGGTGAAAGGCAGGAAGTTTAGCGGGGGTTTTGAGTGAAACATTTTTTTACCCAGAGAGTGGTGGGGGTCTGGAATGCACTGTCTGGGAGAACAGTTGAAGTGAATAACCGCACAACCTTTAAAAAGTACTTGGATGAGCAATTGGAATGTCACAACAGTCAAGGCAATGGGCCTTGTGCTGCAAAGTGGGACTAGTATAAACGTAGAGTTGCTTTGCCAGTACAGACCTGATGGGCTAAAGGGCCTCTTCTATATTGTATGATTCTATGACAAGACTTATCACCTGAGGAGAACTGACACGTCAATATGTCATCGTCCAGGAGAATCAGGAAAGGGAATACTTGTCGAATTCACTTCTTTTTCTGTCCAAGAGAAGAAATGAGGAACAATACCACCATTCCTCCAGTCCAGAGAGGAACACCACAGCCCACTGGAGCATAAATATAATTTAGCTAAACCTAATCTTCATCACTCTCTATGCCCTATTATAAACACAAAGATCAGCCAATTACGTGTGTCCTCTGGTGAACTATCTTTTTGCCAGTTAATATATTTTATCCTTAGCTGCTCTGTCACAAAATCCAATAAGTTAAACACCTTTAGTGAAGATCAGTGAAACTCTCAAGGCACAACATGGTGAAAATCCCACCTTCATTTGACTCTTTACACAACTGAAGTCTCCCATCCTGAATCTATTCTGGTAAATTTCCACTGAACATGCTTCAGCACCTTGTCATTTTTCCAAATTGTGATGTCCAGAATTTGAAACAGCATTTCAGCTGAGGTCAGAAAGGCCATTTATAAAGGTTTTCCAAAGCACAATGGGGAGACAATGGTGTAGTGGTATTATCGCTGGATTGTGAATGTTGATAATGTTCTGGGGACCTGGGTTTGAATCCCGCCATGGCAGGTGGGGGAGTTTGAATTCAGTAAAATACCTAAGAGTCTAATCTTGACCATGAATCCATTGCTGATTGTCGGGGAAAATCCCATCTGATTCACTAATGCCCTTTAGAGAAGGAAACTGCTATCCTTACCTAGTCTGGCCTATACGTGACTCCAGACCCACAGTAATGTGGTTGACTCTTAACTACCCTGTAGGCAATTAGGGATGGGCAATAAATCCTGCCTGGTCAGTGACATCCTCATCCCATGAATGAATAAAAAAAAGTTGTGTAATGTTTTCTGAAGAAGGGTCCAGACCCAAAACATCAGCTTTCCTGCTCCTCTGATGCTGCCTGGCCTGCTGTGTTCATCCAGCTCTATACCTTGTTATCTATTTGTGTAATGTGTGCCTTCATTTACAAAGCATTAAATGCCTATTACCTTTGTGAGTTATGTGAATCTCCAGATCCCTCTACAAGCATCAACTTTTAAAACAATGCAATTGAATTTATATTATCTCTGTTCACACTACTCTGTACTGAATTTCATCTGCTGTATCTTCCCATTGTACCTGTCTATCTACAACTTCCTGTGGTCTTCTACTCTCCTCTTAACTATTTACTACATTTTCAAGTTTGGTGTCGGCTGCACACTGTCACGTAACCAAATACAGGTCATTAACTTATAGCAGAATCAGCAGGAGTCCTAACACTGTCCACTAGGATGAACTAGATTATAACTGTTTGATAAACAGACATTCCACGCAGAATTATTCTTTACTTCCTGACTCTTAAACTTATTTCATATCCATGCTGCCACTCCTCCTTTAATCACAAAGGGGAGGTGATGGCCTAGTGGTATTATCGTTGGACTGTTAACCCAGAGGCCCAGGTAATGTTCTGGGGACCTGGGTTTGAATCCCATGATGGTGGAATTTGAATTCAATAAATATCTGGAATTAAGAATCTAATGATGACCATGAATCCGTTGTCAATTGTCAAAAAAAAACCATCTGGTTCACTAATGCCCTTTAGGGAAGGAAACTGCCACCCTTACCTGATCTGGCTTACATGTGACTCCAGACCCACAGCAATGTGGTTGACTCTTATCTGCCCGCTGGGCAATTAGGGATGGGCAATAAATGCTGCCTAGCCTGCGATGCCCTCATCCCACAAATGAATTTTTAAAAAATTTCAATTCAACTAACAAGTCTATTACGTGGCACTTTATCAAACAATGCTGATATTAAAACAGGAAGAAAATAGCCAAGGTTTGAGTGAAGATTTGTAGCTCAGGTGCTGATTGTAGATGTTGGTGCGTTCGCAGAGCTAGGAAGGTTGATAGCAGACATTTCGTCCCCTTACTAGGTGACATCCTCAGTGCTGTGAAGCAGTGTTGTCTTGTGTCGGTTCGAATCTACATGGCCTGGTTTTTGCTGCTTCCGATAGATGCTGGTTCCAGCTCTGCGTTATAATCGTCGGTATATCGGGTCTAATTCCATGTGTTTGCTGATGGAGTCCGTGGATGAATGTCAAGCTTCCAAGAATTCCCTGGCTGTCCTCTGTTTGGCTTGTTCTATGGTAGTAGTGTTGTCCCAGTTGAAAGTGTGGTTTTTCTCGTCCGTGTGTATTGAAACCAAAGACAACTGGTCATGTCGTTTAGTTGCTAGCTGGTGTTCGTGGATGCGGGTTGCTAGTTGTCTGTCTGTCCCATGTTGTGGTTTGTGCGGTCTCCACATGGTACCTTGTAAACCTCATTCGTCCTGTCCATGGTATCCATTGGGTCTTTAATCCTGGTAGTTGCTGTCTTAGTGTGGCTGCCGGTTTGTGTGCTGTCATGATTCCTAGCAGTCTGAGTAGTCTGGCTGCCAGTTCTGAGGTTTGTTTTTATATATGTGGTATGGTGGTTATTGTTTCGGGTTTTGGTGTGCCCTGGTTGTGTTGTCTGTTGGGTCAGCATCTGTGGATGAAGCTGGGGGGTATCCATTCCTGGTAAAGACCTTGTAGAGGTGTTCTTCTTCTTCCTTCTGCAGATCGGGTGTGCTGCAGAACCAGCACCTACCGGAAGCAGCAAAAACCAGACCATATAAATTCAAACCGGCACAAGACAAAAGCACTTCACAGGAGGCTCCACAGCACTGAGGATGTCACCGAGTAAGGGGACAAAACATCTGCTATCAAACCTCTCAGCTTGGCGAACACACCAACATCTAGAAAATGGCCAATTTTCTGAAGTTCTCAATTTTGGTCAGAATCCTTACCTTTTGGATTTTGTTTCATTGTCCACATTGCCGTCCATTTGATTCCAAGCTCCTTGGCGTATTCATCACCATACCAGACCAGGAGCTCACACCGAGGGGGGACAGGCTTGCAGGTCCTGTAATAAATTTTGCCGTGGTGCTGAAAGGCTACAAGGTTCTGTTCCTCTTCTTTTCTGGCACAGTTAACAAATCTGGAACATAACAAGTAAATACTTAACTGGCCAAAAGTCAGTTCAAATTGTTGCATGAACATCGATGGAGAAGCAGACCAAAAATGTGTCAAAATAACAGGACATGCCTCTATCCATTGCAAAATTTCAATGCACACAATGCGTACTGTACAAGGTAATTGCCTCAACATTTCAAAGGAGATGGGGAGGGAGAAATTTTAGAAGAGAGGGTAGATTTACCCAAAAATATGGGTTTCTGAGTTTTCTCATCAATCTACTTCAATTCCTCTTCCAGAAAACACCCAAATGTTTGGACCAAAGCTTTTGTTAGTCAGTATATCAAACTTGTGTCAAGGTACAAGGACATTTATTTGCAATTTTTCCTTGTTATCTGTCACACTGACCCATGAAATTCTTTGAGCTTTGCAAATTCTGTAATTCAAAAGATCTTGGGCCTGTAATGCACAACTATAGCTGTTAGGAAATCTGCACAAAAATGGATCTTGGCTGACATTAAAATAGGTCACAGCCAGCTGGATTGAGAGGAGTTCTTGACTGTTGGGCAGAACATCCAGTGGCACCAAGCTATAAGCTAGGTGTGCACAGAAAGGAGGGAGAGCCTGTAGGTCAGAGGGTGGGCTGGGAAAATCAGTCCATTTGGCTCACCACACCACCATAAGAAATAGATCATTCTACCCCCTGAGCCTGCTCTGCTATTCAATAGGATCATGGCTGATCCAACACTCCACACGTTCACTTTCATGCTGTTTCCCTGCAACCTTTGATTCTCCTTTGGATCTGGAATCCGTATGTCTATCTCACCATTAAAAATCCACAAGGACTCTGCCTCCTCAGCTCTCTGTGAAGGGGTTCCAAAGACCCATAACCCTCTGAGAGAAGTTCCTGCCTATTTCAATCTTAATTTGGCAAACCTTTATTCTGAGACTATGCCCTCTGGTCCTAGACTCTCTCGTGGGGGGAAACACCCTCTCAGCATTTACCTCGTCAAGCCCCTTAAGAATTATATACATTTCAATGAGGTCACCTCTCATTCCCCTAAACTCCAACGAGTAGAGTCCCAATCTGTTTAGACTTTGCTCATGAGACAATTTCTCCATGCCAGGGATCATTAACGTGAACCTTCGCTGAATTGCCTCCAACGAAATGAGATATTCTCTTAAATAAGAGATCCAAAACTACTCACAGTCTTCCAGATGCGGTCTCACCAGCACCTTGTACAGTTGCAGTAAAACTTCCCTAATCTGATGCACCAATCCCCTTGAAATAAGGGCCAACATTCCATTAGCCTTCCCGATGACCTGCTGCATCCTGTGTTTTGTGCACAAGTACCCCCAAGTGTTGCAACTTTCTGGAGGTATGGATAGACTTTGTGATGTTCACTGCGTTATTTATGTATATTTTTAATATAATTTATTTCAAGGTTGGATTTTGAATTGGTAACATATTGATTATTCTTGCCTGTCTGAAGGGTTTGATAACTGATTTATAAGTAGATCTCGAGTCATAAGTCCTTGGCTGAAGATACTTGTACAAAACAGTGTAGCAGAGGAGGAGAGAAGAAACATCCAAATAGACTACCTTCGTGTAAGAAATTTATTGAAATTTCCAGACAAAAAATATTTGGATAAATCCCTGAAGAGGTTATTTTAAACTAAGAATAAATAATCTGAGGCATGTGAAAGTTCCAGGGAATGGTTATCAGCTTTTCCAGACTGGGAGTTGAACTCACAGATAAATTAAGCATATTGAGATGTTAGGAAATTTTTCTTTGGTGTGAGCACTGCACAAGGGATGCTTCTGGTTACTTTCAAGGGTTTTTTTTTGGGGGTGGGGTTTGTAAGGGAGTGCTTTGCATTGAATGATCATACTTTCACTGTGTTTGAAGTTTTAGAAGTTTGTGACATTGATAAAAGCATTGGTTTACTCTATTTTGTCATCATTATTTTTACTACTAAAACCAAATCTGCAACATTGTGTGTTTATGTTTCAGTGAGAAACCATCTTGCTAAAACCAAAACAAAATATGATCTAGCATGCCGGATATCAGACTGGGATCTGACTTGACCATCAGTAACATTAGGTGAGATTATAACAGTTGTATGTGCTGCTTCAGGGTAGGAGAAATTGGCTGAGAACGAAGTGCTCAAATCGTCACATTATTATATCAGTCTTTCCTTACCTCATCCAATTTGATTTAGATTCATCCTTTGCATCAATGTATTCAAAATCTTGCTTTCCTTTACTGATCTGAAGAAAAGTATTTTGACAAAGCAATTAGATTGTTAAAAGTTAAGGAATCAAGTATATCTTCTTTTAAGCCAATGATCTAGTTTTACAAGAGCTGAGTGCAGTGGCTTCACAGTTTAATAAAAACTTAACAATACCCTCCTTTATCTTTTGTGATTATAGCTTTGTGTCAGTGAATCCAGAGCTCCATATAAACTACAAACTCACAAAGTGGTAAATAGTTTCAAGGAAATTTGAACAGTCAGGAAAGAATCCCAAACTAATTCTAACTGCCTTTGGTATTTGTCATGTCGTCATCTCTTCCAGTTCCCTCCTACTCCTAGCCTACTCTGCATTTCTCAGTCATAAATCTCATGGTACTGACATATTGCTGCCTAATTGGCCAATTTGCCAATGGAGAATGTTAGTTTCATATAAAACTCCATGCATTGAAATGAGAATTTTTAACTGAGGGTTGTCAGTATTTGAATTCTCTCCCCCAGATGGCGATGGAAGCTCAGTTCTTGAGTATATTTCAAGTAGATGTTGATAAATTTTTCAATTATTAATGGTGTAAAGCATTAATGAAATTATTTGGGTAAAATGCACTTGAGTGTCTGATCTGCTGTGGTCATATTCAATGACCGACCAGGCTTGATAGGAGTAACGGCTTACTCTTGTTCCTATGTGCCTGTGAGAAAGAAGGAAAGGAACAGAAAAAATATAAACTCAGTTGAGGTGAGAATGAGAAAAGGGAGAGAAGGCCGGAGTAGTCAAATGAGAAGTGGCAGACTGGTTAGCAAGGTCAGATCACACAGAATAGAGGGAGAGCAAGATCTTTGGATACAGAACCGGCTCGAAAGTAGGAAACAGAGGGTGGTGGTGGACGGTTGCTTTTCACACTGGAGGCCTCAGACCAGTGGCATTAGGATCGGTGCTGGGTACACTGCTTTTTGTCATTTATAGAAATGATTTGGATGTGAACATAGGAGGTATGGTAAGTAAGTTTACAGATAACACCAAAATTGAAGGTGTAGTGAACAGCGAAGAAGGTTACCTCAGAGTACAAAGGATCTTGATCAGATGAGCCAATGGGCTGAGGAGTGGCAGGTGGAGTTTAATTTAAATAAATGTGAGGTGCTGCATTTTGGAAAGGCAAATCAGGGCAGGACTTATATACTTAATGGTATGGTTCTGGGGAATGTTGCCGAACAAAGAAACTGTGGAGTGCAGGTTCATTGTTCTTTGAAATTGAAGTCGCAGGTAGATAGGATAGTGAGGAAGGCATTTGGTACGCTTGCCTTTATTGGACAGTGCATTAAGCATAGGAGTTGGGAGGTCATGTTGCAGCAGTACAGGACATTGTTTAGGCCACTTTCATAATACTGCATGCAATTCTGGTCTCCCTGCTAAGGGAAAGCTGTTGTAAAAAGGTTCAGAAAAGATTTACAAGGATGTTGCCAGGGTTGGAGGGTTTGAGCTATAGGGAGACACTGAATGGGCTAAGGTTATTTTCCCTGGAGCATCAGAAGCTGAGAGGTGACCTTATAGAGGTTTATAAAATCATGAGGGGCATCGATAGGGTAAATAGACAAGGTCTTTTCCCTGGGGTGGATAAGTCCAAAACTTAGGGTCAACTTAGGTTTAAGGTGAGAAGGAAAGATTTCAAAGGGACCTTAGGGGCAACTTTTTCACGTAGAGGGTGGTGCGTGTATGGAACAAGCTTCCAGAAGAAGTAGCAGAGGCTGGTACAATTACAACATTTAAAAGGAATCTGGATGGGTATATGAACAGGAAGGATTTAGAGCGATATGGGCCAAATGCTGGCAAATGGGACTAGATTTATTTAGGATATCTAGACCGAAGAGTCTGTTTCAATGCTGTATATCTCTATGACTCTAAGTGAGAAGAAGAGGGATAAGGGGAAGAATAATAGATGGTTGGAATGAATTCTGGTGAGGAAGGGTTTGCCAGAGAGGCTGTAGTTTGAGAACAAAGGATTTCAGAGTTTTCAGAGAAAGTTTAGAGTCTGGGATCCTGATTTGGTCTTTGTGGAGAATTTTTTCTGTTGGAAGATCATGAGTTTTCTCACAACATTGGCATATCATTTGTGTAAAGGGCAGTGTTAACCTGAACATATTGTGATGAAAAGTGTCTTGTTTATAAACATGTATACCTTTTATATTGTCAGAAGGCAGAAAGTGGAGATAAAGGGGTATTTTTCAGAATGGCACTGGTGACTAATGGAGCTCCACAGGGGTAAGTGTTGGAATCACAACTATTCACATTATATATTAATAATATGGACAAAGGAATTGAGGGCTTTGTTGCTAAGACTGCAGATGACACAACAGGTGCAGGGACAGGGTGCTAGCTTGGAAGGGGTCCAGAAAAGGATCACAAAAATGATCTTGGGGATGAAGGGCTTGTCTTATAAGGTATGGCTTGAGGACCCTGAGTCAGTACTCAGTGGAGTTTAGAAGAATAAGGAGGGATCTGATTGAAACTTAAAGAAAACAGAGAGGCCTGGATAGAGTGGGCATGGGAGATGTTTCCACTAGGAGGAAAGAACTAAGACTCGAGGGCACAACCTGAAGAGACGTCCCATTAGAACTGAGATAAAGAGGAATTTCTCAGCAAGAGGATGGTTAATCTGTGGAACTTTGCCAGAGAAGGCTGGAGAGGCCAAGGCATTGAGTGTATTTGAAAGAGATAAGCAGGTTCTTTATTAGTAAGGGAATCAAAGATTATAATAGAAGGCAGGAGAATGAAGTTGAGAAATATATTCAGCCATGATCGAATGGTGGAGCAGAGTCAATGGGCTGAATGGCCCATTATGTTCCTATATCTAATGATGTTTATTTTCTTTAAAGGGTGTTGATTTCATAATAGTGCCATACGGATGTTACTTAGTGTCAAATTTGATTTCCTTGCTGTCTAATCATTATCAGGACTAGAGAAGCAACCAGAAACTGAAACCTTAAATGACTTTTCACACATATGCTCAAATGAGTCCTGAGCTTCTTCAAAAAAATGCAAGAAACTTGATGATGGCAGGCACTCACCACCCATGAATAGCCACTGACAGCAGCTGATTCTTCATTTGATGTGACTCCTTCATAGGGTCCAAAATGAACTCCTTTAGGAATAATCTTTCCTTCATTCCACACACCAAGACCAGCCTTTCTAATTTTTGATATTGCAATATTGAGGCCCTCTGGAAGGGTTAAACGTGCTCGTTCTGGTCGATTGAATTCGACAACTGTGTCCTTTATGAACACTGGAGGACCATGCACAGGGCACTCTTCAACAAAAAATGTCTCGCAGTCTTCACAAACTGTTGCAACATATAAAATTAAAGATGGATCAGGATTTCAGTTTTTATGATTTTTTTACGATATTTATGAAGGTGACAGGGCCTGCACAGAGAAAATATAATCCATCACAGGTATGATCTTCATTGCAATTTGATCTGTACATACAAGAATGATAGTTCTATGATACATCAAATGGAGAAAGTCTCTAAAGCAACTTCTCTTTATGAAAACATTAGAGTATCAGAAGGATTTTACCCCACTGTGTTGTAAACAAGTGTTTGCTCTTTAAAACATGTTCAGTTTATTCACGTCACAAGGGCAACACAGATTTCAAGGAACAGTAACAAAGCAGGAAACTGACATTATCTCCCAGCCAGGCTACACTTACTAAGATTATGAAAATGAAGCAAGAAAATTCTGCAAATTTTGAGAAAATCTATACTGCTGGATTTTTCTGTGGGTTTTTCAGATCTGGCTCAGGAATACAACTCCCAGTACGTCCAGCAATTCCAACACAAGCACACAGAATGGCAGATCAGAAATGCACTAAGATTGCTTAAAGCTTTTTTCAAAAGAACGCCAATCATTGGACAAGGACTTTGCTGGGAAAAGCTTGCTCACATGACTACACCGACAGAGTGTGGAATCTGCTAAACAAATAAGGCAGCTGAGGCTAAAACATTGTATAATTTTGAAGGATAATTTGGTATAGCACTTGGGGTTAAAGAGATCAAAGGATAAAGGGGAAAAGCAGGAACAGGGAATCGAGTTGAATGATCAGTTATGATCATAATGAATTCAAGGCAGGCTCAAAGGGCCAAATGGTCCACTCTTTCTTGCTCCTATTTTCTAAGAATTGGTGCATAGCATCAGAAACAGGAGTCCATGCAAATGTTTTTTTAACTATGTAGCTGAAGAAGGAACACACAGTTCATTGCTCTGTTCAGTGATAATGCTAATGTTAACTCTATGTAGCTGAGGCTCTGAGAAGCCCCACAAACAGTTGCTATGTTTGCTGCTGAAAGCCTCAAAAAAACACTGGAGCAATATTTCCACTGTACAGCTAGGGAACTGTGTCAGCTTACTGCAACTGAAGGCTTGGTTCCTCGCTTTGTGACGCTGGCACTTTGGAACAGTGAAAAGCTGATGAGCAGTTATTTTCTCATAGCAGCTGGAGAGGTAGAAATGTGCTTTTCCAGCAACTTCTTGAGCAGTTGAGAGCCAAGCAGTCAAAGTCATACAGCACAGGGACAGACCCTTCAGTCCAACCAGTCCATGCTGAATATAATTCCAAACAAAACTAGTCCCACCTGTCTGGTCCTGGCCCATATCCCTCCAAACCTTTCCTATTCATGTACTCATTCAAGTGTCTTTTAAATATTGTGCTTGTGCACACATCCACCACTTCCACAGGAAGTTCATTCCACACACGAACCACCCTTCTGAATTGAGGGGTTATTGAGGGAAATCAGAAATTATATCCTTGAAGAAGATGGAATTTCTCATGGTGAGTTTAAGATTTTTAAAAAATGTTGATGACACTCAGTATTGTTAACCTCTGGCTGGATAGCTGAGAAATTCATGGTACTGGTTTTGGCTACGCATGGTATTTGGCACGCAGTTTCTAGTTTTGTCTTTGACCACAGTTTGCCTATTACCTCCAGAGATTGGAGTACAAGACAGATATAATTGACTCTTCTCTTGGCAGAATTTTTAGAAATCTGAAGCACAAACTAACGTGGGAGTCCTCATTCAGTATTTTCTTCAAGTCAACATGCAGGTTCAGTTGGCAGTCAGTAGGGCAAATAGATTGCTGGCATTCATTTCAAGACAGCTGGAATACGACATCAGAGATGTAACTGCTGAGGCTGTATAAGGCTCTGGTCGGACCATATTTAGAATACTGTGAGCAGTTCTGGGCATCTGTATCCAAGGAAGGATGTCCTGGCCTTGGAGGGGTCCAGATGAGATTTACAAGAATGATTAAAACTTACAAAACACTGAGAAACCTGGGCAGATTGGATGTGGAGAAAATGTTTCCACTAGTAGCAGACAGGGTGATTAATGTGTGGAAGCCATTGTCACAGAGAGCTGTGGGTGCCAAATGTATTTGAGACAGCGATAGATAGATTCTTTATTTGTTAGGGGATCAAAGGTTAAGGGGAGAAGGCACGACAATGCGGTTGAGAAACATATCAGCCATGATCAAATTGTGGGGCAGAGTCTGTATATTGAATGACACATTTCTGTTCCTATATCTTAAGATCTTCTAGAGTAATTCACTCTTTGACTTTGGAAAGACATTTGCAAGGTATTAGCCAGCAGTGCAACAGTATACTCCCTATTTGCCTGATGTGCGCAGCTCCAAGAACACCCAAGAAGCTTGACACTATCCAGGACAAAGCAGCCCATTTGATGATCACTATAATCACTCCCTCCACCACTGGCATCCAGGTGCTGCAATGTGTGCCATCTCTAAGATGCACCATGGCTCCTTTAACATCATCTTCCAAACCCATGATTAAGTCTTTCTGGAAGGACAAAACAGCATACACAGGAGAAAACCACCACCTGCATCTTCCCCTCCAAGCACTCACTATCCTGACATGTAAATACAGCACTATTCCTTCAGTGTTACTGCATTGAAATTCTGGAGCTCTCACCCTAAAAGAACTAAGGTTTCACCTACACCAAATATAGCGATTCCAATCAGCAGATCATAATCACCTTCTCCAGGGCAACTAGGAATGCTGTGACCTGTGACTCCCACATCTCATAAATGAATACAAGTCATGGGACTCCCATTTACACTCATAAAACATCACTTTAAGCCTGTGAATAAAGATACTTAAGCATAAAATTTCAAACCAATGTTTTGGTAGCATTTTTGTGATCATTTGTAGTTAGTGATATGGAAACATAAGTGCGTGTTTCTGGGCAAACACAGGGCTTTTCCTTTGCCAGGCCATATTACCGGAGCAATGATCTGGTTTCCCAAAACTCAGGTCATTGTACCAACCCTCCCAATAATTTCTTTCTGAACAACTGGCTAAGACACTTTTCACGTACACAGAAAATCTTCATCACAAAGTTCTCTTTCTTCAGTGTAAACCTTTCTCTCTTTATTTCTCAAACTGTATCTTCTCTCTTCCTTTTTATTGCACGTTTCCTCAGTTGAAGATTCCAACATCTTTCCAGTACAGACAACTGTAAAAGAAATCAGAAAGATCTGAACAATACCTGAAAAAAATCAACAAGTTTGTTTTTTGCTTTGTAGAAGGGGTATGTTCAGTTTCAAGGTCAGAACCTGCAGATATTTATAAGACACTGAGTTAATTTGACGAATCAGTGCTGGAGTAGACACATTGCCAATGAAAACATTTCCTCATTAAAATGTAAAAATAAACTAAAATTCAAAATCAACAGATTTTCCTGAAATTCCTTTATTCCTGGACATATACCTTTAATGGATTCTTGTTGAGCCTCACATTCACTCATCGCAGTTTCTCTGTTGATCTTTTTAACTGAAACGGTCTCTTCCATAGCTGAGGCAGCATCCTCATTGAAGCTCCTGTAACCTGAATCTTTATCCTCCTGTAAATGGGATGCAATCGCTAATTGTACTTTCTCAATCTGAAATGTAGATTGTGATTTTTAAACATTGTAACTCTCAGTTTTTGAGTTCAAGAATAGCTGCTTCATATTCGTCACCAAACAGATTATGTCAAAGGCAAGGTATTTGTTTGTTTTCCTTGCCATTTGTTCTTGTACCATACTTAATAAAGCAAAGTTCCCAATCACTCATTTGAGAAATGTATTCTCTCTCTCTAGTTTAGAATTGGACACATATTTTAGGAATTCCCCATTTTTGAAACTTAGGTAAAGTTCACCTTCCTAATAAATTGTAGCTATTTCAATCTGCTGTTATTTGCAAATTTTGAGTTCTGAGTGTACATTTATCCATGAACAACATCAAGAGGAGCTAATTTATAATTTCACCAGTTCATGAAATTCATTAATGACAAGTCTGCAAGTGGAAAATAGAATTAGAAATATGAACAGAATCACGGCAGCAGTAACTTTGGGCAGAAATACCACCAGGAATAAAAGGGAACACTGAAGCTGGAAATCTGAGATCAACACAGAAAATATTCAAGTGTGTAGTAGGTCAATTTGAGTTGGAAGGAGAAAGACTAGATAATGATTTCGGTGGAACTCTGGATCAATATATCTTTCAGATGCTGACACGGTTGCAGTTAATATCCAGTAGCTTGTTTCTGAGTTGACAGATTAATCTGATAAGAATTCTGTGCAGACCAAATTACCTTTTTGCTGTTCTCTTTCTTTGTCTTCTTGATTCCATCATTCTTGAAAGGTGGCTTAAAGGTTCTCACCTCTTTAAAAGAATTTCAATGTTATTTTAGATATTCTAAAATTGAAGTTTAGTTTTTTTCCATTAGCAACATTGACAATTCTTAGCATTTTCAAAGTAGAATCAAATGTGATGTGGCTAAGAAGCAAATTTGCATTAATTCTAAAAGTACATGCATATACATACGTCAAGAAAAATATTCAATATATTCAATTTACTTGTCTTTCCAGTTCTCCAAAAGTTAAAGTGGCTACCTCTAACTTGCTCACGGCTCATACTAAATAAAACTATTTCAGATTTTTAACAAAGAAAAAAACTGAACTTACGTGGTGGGTTTTTCACAAGACATTTAGGAGTCCAATCTTCATCTGAATCACTAGATTCATACACACAAGATTGACTACCCCTGCCATGTCTAGACATGAATGCTGGCTTTGGTACATTCAATCCTGTAAAAATTAAAATATTGCAATCACTGATAATTTACAGTATTTATATTCATTTATTAGAGTGAAAGAAGAAACCTGTCAAATGCAACCATTTCAGAATATCAGATAAGAGCCGTACACCTGGCTTCCTTCCATTAATGGCACCCAAAATTCATCCAGCTCCAATTAATCAAGTTAAAAGAAGATGTCATATTATGCTAGAGTGCTTGAAACACAGCACCAGATCAATAAATATCCAGCAGCCTTTAAAATTGTCTTTCCCTTCTGGTGTGTGACTGATGCAAACTGGACCTATTTTTTAAAATTCATTCATAGGATGAGGGCATCACTGGCTAGGCTAGCATTTATTGCCCATCCCTAATTGCCCAGAGGGCACTTATGAGTCAACCACATTACTGTGGGTCTGGAGTCACATGTAGGCCAGGCTAGACCAGACCAGGTAAGGATGGCAGTTTCCTTCCCTAAAGGACATTAGTGAATCACATGGGTTTTTCTAACAATCGAAAATGGATTCATGGTCATCATTAAACTCTTAATTCCAGACTCTTTATTGAATTCAAATTCCACCATCTGCTGTGGCAGGATTCGAACCCAGGTCGCCAGAACATTACCTGGGTCTCTGGATTAACAGTCCAATGATAATACCACTAAGGCCAATGCCTCCCCACTCCCCAGTTGCCGTCAAAATGAAAGCAGCATATTTGTGATGCCTCAGCATAAAAGGAAAAGAAATGCACCTGAGATGCAGAGGTTACCTCCTTTATTACCAAGTGATTGCTTCTGATCTTGAGTCAGAATTTTAAAAAATATAAGTTAATGGGTTTACTACAATGAAGGAAAACACACAGGCAGCACGTTAAAGAAAAATAAACATGGACAGCACATGAGCCTGAAGTAACAGTAAATGCTGCAAATAATCCACAGTTCAGTCAGCAGCATGTAGAAAGAGATATTTGCAAACTAATGGTATCAAAGGTTTAAGATGTTTTTGTGCTTTCTACAAACACCATTATTTCACATTATAAATTACAGTGTTTCACTGTCATTTAAAACTACTGATATCAATTAGAAATCAGTTTATGTCGATTGTGTTGCGGCGTTGGTTGAAATCTGTCCTCTCAGGGAAGTGAAAATGAAAGGCACCCATTCCAGCACCTTGCTTAAAACGAGAGGCAGAAAGAAAGTGTGCACCCCAGCATCCTTTTCATTCAACTGTTGGCCTGGAAGTATTAACTTGGTTCGGAACGATTTTAAAAGATGAAATCTATCAGCACCTCTATGTACTAGTTAATTATGGTGTGGGGGCCAGAAACTCCTAGATTCAATGTTTGGTGTGCTTTCTGCTCATCTTTATCATAGTGACAACAGAAATGTCATTGGTGGTTTCTCTTTTGGTCAGAAGGAAGTAAATTTCTCAGTCAAGAGTTTAATGCTTGGTCGTATGTGATGATACCATGGTTTTAAGAGGTTATTTTATCCTTTGTTTTTGAGGAAGGGTTTTAAGGCAGAGCTGCTGAGCAGACTACCAGAGCCAATAAAGTATGGAACAACAGAAGCAGACTGAATGGGTGTGGTCAAGCTCTAATAAAATCAGGATTTTTAATTTTAGCCTTCAGCAGTTGCTCTTGGTGTCTTGAAGAAGTGGAAGCTATTTTTCCATCTCGGTTACAGCCAAAAGCTGGGAATTTTCTTCCTGTTGCTGAAGTTGCACATGGGACAATCTGTTTTCTAAATGTGCCTTTTGCCAAGGGATTGTTTATGGGATGTTACTATATTGGAACAGTTTATTAGTAACAAAATAACAAAACAGTAGATGTTAAGTTTTCCAATAGAATTAAGTTATTCCAATTTCTTTCATTCATTCTATTTTAACTATGGTGGATGAATAAAATGTGTTTTGCTTTAAATCCAGCAGTTTGGCCAATCGAATTGAATCTGGAACGCAACACCTTTACCTTTAAAGCAAGAAAATGTTGGGATCTCATTTGTCTTCAGAATATTTTGAGGGGGTTTGATCTGGTTCATAACACAAAATATAGTTTTTCTGTTGAAAGTTAAGTGTATGTTGGTCCAATGAGCAAAGGCTCAACTCCACTGCTGCTTACAATCACATTGCTGCTAATATTCAGACAGGACTTTGACTTCTCATTCCAGAAAATTCAGAATCTTCTTGGTCACTTAACAGTGAGAAAATGGGATATTCAGAAGTTTAGGATTGCAAATTACTTCTCAAAACAGTTCTAATGTGTGTCATAATGAAAAAATGGAAAATCCCATTTCACAAGACAAGACTAGACAGGACAATGCAATATTCAAAGGAGCTGGCACTTGTCAAAAGTTGTCAGGAAAGGCAGCCTCAAATATAGAAAGCAAAACAAAACATTGATTTTGTACAAACCTATTGCAAGCATGGCCTCATAGTTCCGCTTCACATTCTTATAACGTGTCTTTTCCCATTCACTTAACTCTGCCCACTCATCTTTGGAAAAATGAACGGCAATGTCTTTAAATTGATCTTTAATCTGAAAATATAAAATCATTGTGATTCCTTAGAGATAGTAAGAACTGCCAATGCTGGAGTCAGAAATAACAGTGCGGAGCTGGAGGAACACCACAGGGCAGGCAGTATCAGAGGAGCAAGAAAATTTCCGTTTCAGGTTGGGACCCTTCTTCAGGCCAGAAATGTCAACTTTCCTACACCTTGCCTGGCCTGCTCTGTTCCTCCAGCTCCACACTGACTGCTTACATGCCTCATAAGTGACTGCGTAATCTTCACAAACTAAAGATTTACAAATGTAGGATGAGCTACCTTGCCAGATCTACCATTCTTTATCAGAATATCCTCTAGGCTCTTAGGAGTGGACTGGCACTAAATACTGGTAGAAAAATTACATAACAAACAACTGTCTTACAAAACATTTCAATAATGGAGTTGGAGTTGTTGTTCACATGTGTACTGTGACAGTGTAAAAATAAAGTTGGATAAGCCCAAGTGTCCATTAATTTCACTCAAAAATGCTACCGCCTGGCTCAATACCTCTTGGAAAACAATCCTTGACATTTGCTCCTTTTCAGCTATTGTAGCAAATTCCGTATTCTTTTTCTGGAAATGGGACATTTTCTGTCACGATTTCCCTTTTGAGAATGAAGTTCTTCATGTCCACCTTCATGGAATCACCAGTGCATTAGGCATTCAAGGAAGGTTTTCACGGTTTACCAATCTTTGCAATTCCTTCACACTTCCATATGCGTTCTGGGGTCAACAATTTACTGCACTGTGCCATGATATCCTGTAATTCTCTGGTATTCTTGTACATGACAGCAATCAGTGAAGAAGACTGGAGTGACATCAGTGAAAGTTACATCCAGAAAAATACAAAGCTATCTGGCCTTGTCCTGTTGTATCAGCATAGCAGTCTATCTGCAGGTTTGCTGAAGCACCCCCTAGCCTCAACTAGGTATATCAGATAGCACTCCACCTGCAGACTTGCTGAAGACATTGCGTAACTTGGCATCTTTTTAAATTTTCATCAGGACATTGGATGTGGCATTGAGCCCTTCCAGATAATCAAATTTGACATCAGTGAGCACAGTCAAGAATCTAGAGGTCACCAACAGCAGTGGGATCTACTGAAAAGAAATGCCATTTGTGCACTGTTTTGACTTAGAGTACATACCTTGGTTAACTGACTCTTGTACGTTATGTCAGCCACATGGAGATGCCCATCTATGATCATCTTGACTTCATGGGTACTGAAATTTCCTCCTGCAGTAGAATATCCACAATGTGAATTATTTTGTCCTTTTATCATTACTTTCTGGGAAGAAGGCATTGCTGGCCTGCACTGATTGCCTACTTGACTTTGAAAAGGCGATAGTGAGCTGCTATCTTGAAGCCACAGCGTCCGCTGGCTGTATGTTGATATGCAAAGCCCTTAGAGGTAATTCCAGGATTTTGATCCAACGACACAGATCAATGGCCTTTGGTATCACCATCACAACCATAGCCTGTCGCTTCAGTAAACTTGCATGTCACTTTTTATTCTGGCAAAATAATAACAAAGTTCGGGCCACCAACAGTGGTCAAGCCCAAGGATGTTACCTAGGAGTCTGACCTTGAATGACTGTGCTGGGGCCCCCTGACTGTTGAATGCCTCCATATCAGGGAGGGCTACTCCTCTGAGACACAGCCATTCGCTTGCAGCCCTGGCAGAGAATTTACTGTGTAAAAGCTGCTGGCACATGATGCAGGTGAGTTTGATGTAGGTTACAGCATACAGCAAGATGTTTCCCCCATTGAACAAGAGCTGCTCACCAGCAAGCCAAGATGCCTGCCTTTGAATGTGCATGAAGAAGCAAAGCCAAGATGCTGTGGTGCTAAGTCAGTGAGCGCTAAAAGAGCAAGTGATCAGAGCTGAGATGCACCCCAGCCCAATCTGAGACTGGGTGTCTTTTCCTGCACACAAATAGCTCCGGTGAAATGACAGACATCAATGTGCCCTGTAGTGCAGCTTAAAGTGTCCTGGAAGTGGATCGAAGAGGTGCCATGCCAATTTTGAGTGTCTGGCCATTGTTTAATGACAACATCCATGGATGTGGGTCCCATTTCACAGGTGCCCATTCAGTGTCCTTGAGAAATTGTCAGCTGTCCAACATAATGGCCCTCATAACCCAAAAGCTGCAAATGTTGTCATGCAGACCAAAGAATACAATCATCTGACTGCATCCAGTGACAGAATGGCAGCTGCCATGGATAGGCAGGTCCAACTGTCTCATAGTATACTGGATATGTGAACAGCCTTGCACTCCATCACATTAATCATTGGTCCTCAGCATCTAGAGTAATTTGATAGTGATCTTACGCTCACTCCAAGTGCACCTTCCTCACAGGTAGGAACTTCACTGTGGGAGAAGCAGAAGCCTCTCGGAAGTCTCCTCAGCACACTCCATTGGTGGTCTGGGCTTCCACATGCAGCCTGGGTTGAAGACACAAACAATGAACACTGATTTTCATACCATAAATTCTTGGCATCTAGTTTCCTTGCAATGGGTGGCAGGATAGGAAACTGTAAATTAATGAGGTGTGATGTCCTATCAACAAGGCCACAATAATACCCATCTCACTGCTGCCAAGTGGGAATCTTGTCTTGACAGCTGGAACTCTGTGGGGGAGAAAGCAGTTTGTTATGCCCAACATTTGGAAAAACCTCACTGGACATCTCAGACAATTTGTCCACATTTCTCATCAGAGTCATCATAGTCCTTTAAAGGTATCGCTATGAGGAACTCATCTATGCCCCGCTGACAGCATTGACGTGACTGACCAGTGAAATCTTCCTCGCCTCAAGTTGCAAAAAGCCCACTGACCTAGCAATTACTTTCTGGTTTCCATTGTAAATCTCCCATGACCTTACCTCAGTTGTCCTCTGCTCTGACATTGCCATTCCCTCTCCAGTATCCTTCCCATCACTCTTAGTTTTACCCATACCTTCCTGAGATCAGGCACTTTGTTTATTCCACTTTAACCTTGAATTGTAGTGCCCTATTCTACCCCTTAATCTTTTCAATGGCTATGTCCTGAGTTTATTAACCCCTTCCTTACTTTATCACCTACAGATTAAAATCAAGACCAACCTCCGATAAATATTTTCCTATCAACAGCACTGTCTAATTTTTATGGGGCTAATATCCAAACCGGTCTTTTCTTCTGACTTTCCCTCAGATTAAAACCACCTCAGCTTGTTTCTCACTTGAACAAAATAAGCCAGATCCCTCAGGAATTTTTTTTTATTCCACCCCTACATAAAATTAAGTCACCAAACAAATTTCTAAAACATCAAACAGAAGTTGCGAACTGAGTTGCTCTGACAAAAACCAAAACACAACCTGATGATTTTTTTTTCCACTGTTTTGAAAGTGTGTCATCTTTCCACCCTCCAACTGATTTTCCAATTTCAAAACCCCAGAATACAAATTGTAAAACGGATTATTCCTTCATCTCTCCCTCATCCATTTCCCAAGGTCGTGTTTTAATTTAAATTGTTTCGAAAAAGGGCTCCTCCTAATTCAAGGCGAGCAAACTCAGTAAATAATCGTGAGGTAATTTTGGTCTCTCGCCTTGTTCCGACCAAGAGTTAGCTCTGACTGCACCCGTCCTCACTTATCTCATCCAGCTCTAATCCCTGTTTGATCCCCGAACGTTTTAAACAAAATTGAAATATTCCCCTTTCCTCGATACCATCCAGTTACAAAGCCCGACTAACACAGAACATTTCCCCCTAACAACCTCCCGCCGTCTGCCCTTATCTCCCGCCGACGCCGCCCCTATATATAGCACCCACTCCCCATCCCGGCAACACCTGCGAGGGCTTGGCGCCCTTTTCTTGTCCTCGCGCTCCCCCGCACGCAAAGTCAGCAGCTCTGATTGGTGCAGCTCCGGTCACGTGCCCCCTACCAAACAACGCCCCGCGGCGCGATGTCATCGCCCGGGGCGGGAAAAGGGCTGCGAAACGTCGCGGGTGTCAGCAAGCACGTGTTTTAGCTGACACCGGCGCATGTCAGGAAACGCGACTGCTAATCGGGAGGCTGCTTTTGGGTACCCAGGAGGAGTATAAGCGGATTGTTGTTAAATAAAAAGGCGCCAAACGCCCCGGGGGAGGGGAGAGTGCAGTGGTAGTGTCCCCACCTCTAGACCAGGAGGCTAACGTTGAAGTCTTAACGGCTCCAGAGATATGAAATAATATGCCTGACCAAGCTGATCAGAAACTATCTACAGGAGATCTCTGGGTTGTGGCTCAAATACACCTGATGGGGGTTGAAAATCATATAATCCCCACAGTGTGAGAGTAGGCCATTTGGACCAACAAGTCCAAACCCCCCTGGCGCCCTGCAAAGAGCATCCTATCCATGCTCACCCTCTACCCCGTAACCCAGCATTTCCCCATGGCTAACACACCTATCCTGCACATCCCTGGACATGAAGGACAATTTAGCACGGCCAACCCACCTGACCCGCACATCTTTAGACTGTGGGAGGAAACCTGAGCATCCGGAGCGAAACCCACGCAGACACGGGGAGAATGTGCAAAATCCTATACAGACGCCTGAGTGCCAAATTGAACCAGTTGCCTGGCACTGTGAAGCAGCAGTGCTAACCACTGTGCGCCGCCTATATGCCCTCAATGAAGGGTCCATGTTTTATTTGTTCAATGTGAGCATTTCTTTATTTGAATAGCCTTCGAAAAAGGCACGTAGGAACTGGAATAGGCCATTCAGTCCCTCACACCTCGAAGTTCGGCAATCAATAAGATCATAGTTGATCTGTGGCCAAACTCCATATACCGGCCTTGTGCCCATATCCCTTGACAGTCTTGCTTAATAAAATGTGGTCTATCTGAGATTTAAATTTAACAATTAATTTAGCATTGGCTGCCGTTTGAGGAAGAGAATTCCAAAGCTCCATTACTCTTTGCTTGTGAAAGTGCAGTCCTGAATGGCTGGACCCTAATTCTTAGGTTATGGTCTCCTTGTCTAGAATATTCAACCAATTAGCAATTCAATAACTACCTGTCTCAACAGAACCATTATTTAGACTTTTGCCTTTCACTCTTAATGCTTATGTGTGGATACTAAGTGGATAGGAGAGTATATTTCATGATTCCTCACTCCCAGTATGAGGTTTGGAAATTTGGGACTTGTAATGTCAGACCCTCTCTGAAACTGCTTTTTCATACTGATAATTCGGAATCCTCCCACTAATAGAAGCTGCAACATTTGTAGTATGTTTAATGTTTTTGAGAAGATTTGTAGCTCAGGTTGTGCATGAGGTTGCAGACTTGCTCAGTGAGCCTGTGTGTTTGATTGCAGATGTTTCGTCAGCCTGCTAGGTAACATCATCAGTGCACCGCTGGTGGAGTGTTGGTGTTCTGTCCCACTTGTTATTTATATGCCTCTGTTTGCTGGGGTGGTTGGTATTACTTCCGCTTTTGTTCTTCAGTGCTTTGTATATCGGGTCCAGTTCAATGTGTTTGTTGACGGAGTTCCAGTTGGAATGCCACACCTCCAGGATTTCCCTGGCATGTCTCTGTTTGGCTCATGCTATTATGGATGTGTTGTCCCAGTCGAATTTGTGTCCTTCTTTGTCCGTGTGTATTGAGACCAGTGAGAATTGGTGTCTCTTGGTGGCTAATTGGTGTTTGTGTATCCTTATTGTCAGTTTTCTTACAATTTGGCCTGTGTAATGTTTCTCACAGTCCTCGCAAGGTATTTTGTATACTACATTTGTTTTATTGGTTGTGGGTATGGGGTCCTTCACATTCGTCAGTAGCTGTGGCAGGGTGGTTGTTAGTTTGTGGTCTACTCTGATACCTAGGGTCTAAGTAGTCTTGTGGTCATCTCTGATATGTCCCTGATGTACGGTAGGGTGACTAGTGTGTCTGGCCGTCCTCTATCGTTTTGTGGTCTGTCACGGAGGTAACGGCAGATTGTAAACTCTGCAACAGACCACAAGATGACACAACATGGCCAGACACACTAGTCACCCTACTGTACAAAATCTCTGACCCACCTGACCTGCCACCTCTTCATCCTTATGGTGAAACATCACTGAGATCGATGTTGTAGTCTAGTTACATACACCTTTGTCAGCGAAGGTGCAATAAACATTGAGACTGAAAAACTTTCCTGCTGACAGATGGCGAAACTTATTTTGTGGATTCCAGGATTCCGGTTAGTTTCATCAAACAGCCTGTTCCCCATAGGCAGCTTTCAATATGTAAGCATTAGATAGTCAATGAAATTCTTTTGGCAAAAAATTTAAACAGAAACTCAAATTGAAAATTGGATGTGTTCTAATTTAGTTGACACAGCTAGAGGCACCAAAGTCTTTTTCTTTAAACTCTGCACTGTAAATAAATTATTTATATGCAGCTGTTTAATCTGTGTCTGGACTGTCTCAGTGTAACAAAAACAGAAATTGCTAGAAAAGGTCACCAGGTCTGGCAGCATCTGTGAAGGGACAATCAGAGATAATGTTTTGGGTCTGGTAGCCCTTCCTCAGAACACATCTGAACTGACCACAAGACTCCTACGACTATTGGGCATCAGAGTAGCACACAAACCCACATCAACCCTACGCCAACTGCTCACCTGAACCAAAGACCCACTACCCGCTATGGACAGGACCAACGTTATATACAAGATTCCCTCCAGAGAAAGTGACAAACATTGCATTAGACAAGCAGGAAGGAAATTAACCACAAGGGTACATGAACATCAATTGGCAACAAAAAGACACGACCAATACTCACTCATCTCCATCCACATGGATAAGGAGAACCACCAATTCGATTGGGACAAAACCAGGATCCTGGGACAGGCGAAGCAGAGTCAAGCACAGGAATTCCTAGAAGCCTGGTTCTCCACTAGGAAAGCCATCAATAAACACATAGAGCCAGACCCCATACACACTCCAGTGTGAAGGAAAACTGGAAGTGAGATAATCCAGCTCAACGGACACCAGACTTTAAATAACAGGCGGGAAAACACAACAGTGCTTCATTGGAGGCCGCACTGTTGATGTTACCCAGCAGGGTAATGAAACGTCTGCAGAACAATAAACCAGCTCGGCAAGCCAACCAACCACAACCCGAGCTACAAATCTACTCTAAAACCTTCTGCCCTTTAGTTTTTGACACCCCTACCCTGGGGGAAAGATCTTGTCTATTTACCCAATTCATGTCCCTTATGATTTTATAAACCTCTGTAAGATCATTCCTCAGCCTCCGACACGCCAGGGAAAATAGCCCCAGTCTATTCAGCCTCTCCTTATAGCTCAAACCCTCAACCCTGGCAACATCCTTGTAATCTTTTCTGAACCCTTTCAAGTTTCACAATATCCTTCCTATAGCAGGAAGACCAGAATTGCACGCAGTATTCCAAGAGTGGCCTAACAAATGTCCTGTACAGCTGCAATATGACCTCCCAACTCCTATTCTCAATGCATTGACTAATAAAGACAAGCATACCAAACGCCTTCTTCACTATCCCATCCACCTGCGACTCCACCTTCAAGTAACTATGAACCTGCACTCCAAGGCTTTTTTTGTTCAGCAACATTCCCCAGGACCTTACCATTAAGTATATACATCCTGCCCTGATTTGCCTTTTCAAAATGCAACATCTCACATTTATCTAAATTAAACTCCATCTGCCACTCCTCAGCTCAATGGCCCATCTGATCAAGATCTCGTTGTACTCTGAGGTAACCTTCTTCGCTACCCACTATACCTCCAATTTTGATGTCATCTGCAAATTTACTTACCATACCTCCTATGTTCACATCCAAATCATTTATATAAGTGATGAAAAGCAGTGGACCCAGCAGCAATCATTGTGACACACTGCAGGTCATCTTTGAACATGTTGGCTCACAATTGATACTGAATAGAGAATTAAATGCAGACCAGAAGTCACTCACTCTTTGCATACCATCTACTATTGATGATACAAAATGACAGAAATTGGTTATTTTTTATTACAAGCTTATTTATCAGTAATTTGTTTTGATAATCTGCTGTTATGGTTCAAATCTAATATTTGCCACGAGTTCATTTCAATGCTTCCATAAACTGCAATAAATGTTTTAAGATCGATCAATTGCTGTTGATATGTCAGAATGATCAAAATCCTGATCGTAAATTAACCTCTGTGAAGGGGACAGAAAAAGGATGAGCTGCTAAGTGGAAAATAAAACCTAAAATTCTCTGGTTTGTGGACTCTTTTTGGGCTGGAGGAAGGTTTGCATTGGAGATCCTCAGGGGTCAATATCAATAAACTTGCTTTTCTGATATATATTAATGATCTGGATCTTGGTGTGCAGGGACAATTTCAAAGTCTGCAGATGGCACAAAACTTGGAAGAATTGTAAACCCTGAAGATTGCAGTGTGGAATTCTGAAAGGACGTTGACATGTTTATGGAGTTGGCAGATGAGGTTTGATGCAGAGAAATGTGAGGTCATGTACTTTGATTGGAAGAACACTGAAAGGCAATATAAAATTGGGGGTACAATTTTGAAGGGGGTGCAGGAGCAGTGTGACCTGGATTTATATATGCTCAGATAATTGAAGGTGGTAGAGTAATCAGTTAAAGCTTACAGTGGCCTCAGCTTTATTAATAGGGGCATACAGTACAAGGGCAGAGATGTGATGTTGAACTTATACAATACATTTAGAGTATTGTGTACAGTAGTAAATGCCTTATTGTGGGAAGGATGGGAACACATTGGAGAGAACGCAGTTTACAAGAATGATCCAGGAATGAGAAACTTCAGCTATGAGGATTATAGATGGAAGAAGATGGGATTATTCTTTCTTTTTAAATAGAATCCCCACAGTGTGGAAACAGGCCATTTGGCCCAACAAGTCCACACCAACCACCGCCCTCCCACCCCCCAAAGATCATCCCACCCAGATCCATCCTCTCGCCCTGCATTTCCCATGGCCAACACACCTACCATACACATCCCTGGACACTATGGGTAATTTAGCATGGCCAATCCACTTAACCTGCACATCTTTGGACTGTGGGAGGAAACCGGAGCACCCAGAGGAAACCCACACAGACACAGGCAGAATGTGCAAACTCCACACAGATAGTTGCCCATGGTTGGAATCAAACCCAGGACCCTGGCGCTGTGATGCAGCAGTGCTACCCACTGAGTCACTGTGCCGCCCTAACAGGGAAGGCTGAGGAGAGATTTGATAGAGGTTTTCAAAATAATGAAGGGGCTGGATAGAGTAGAGCGGGGTGGGGGGAGCGCGCGGTGAGAGAACTGTGCTTAGAAAAGACTCAAAGAGCAGAGGGCACAGAGTTAATCAGAACTGCAAAAGAAACAACTGTGATGTAAAGAAAAGCTTTGTCACACAGCTCGTAGCTAGGGTACGGAATGTGCTGCCTGGAAAGTGTGCTGTAGGCAAACTCATTCAAAATGGCATGGGATGATTATCTGGACAGAAATAAACGGCATGAGGAAAAATGGCAGGAGGTAATGATGCTCACGTGCAGAGCTGGCATAGACACAATGGGCCGAATGGTTCTGTGATGGAGAGAGTGGGGGAATGTGGAACGTGCTCCTAGAGGGAATGGTTGAAGTCAATAGCATTGAAACACTTAAGGAGAGGCTAGAAAAGCAAGTGGGGGAGAGGAGGATAGATTATCAGGGTGGGGGATGAGAAAGGATGCGAGCATGAATACCAACACAGACTGGTTGGGCCTAGTGGCCTGTGTACATGACCTAAAATCTACACTGATTTCTGATGAATTAAAATGGGTAATGTGGCAGAAATGTTAGAGGATGTGGGAGGAGGTACAACCATGATAGGATAGAATGTTTAACCAGTAAGATCACCTTTAATTAGACGAAAATGAAATATTTTCACATCAGATTCACAACATTATATCCAAGTTCCTTCCTGTTTGGAGCACCTATTATTCCATGTAGGAATCTGAGTATCTCAGAGGCCCCTCTCACCGTTGATTGAACAAACCACACTCTGCATTGTTGTGCTACAAATTCGGTTGACTTTGGAAATAATTCACACAGCACAATCGCAATCAGTTTAAAGAAAGGCTCTGAATCATCAGCTAGTGAAACACAGCTCTTCGGAAGACTCGGCTGTCCCAGATCTCTGCCTTCTCTGTCCACCAGCTTTCCCCGTCAACAAAATCCACTTCGTCAAAGTCAGAAATCACACGACACCAGGTTATAGTCCAACAGGTTTATTGGAAAAGCTTGTGATTTCAAATAAATCTGTTGGACTATAACCTGGTGTTGTGTGACTTCTGACCTTATCCACCCCAGTCCAACACCGGCACTTCTACGTCACGTCATCAAAAGTCATAGAATTATAGAATCCCTACAGTGTGGAAGCAGGCCATATGACCCGAGTTCACACCGACCCTTTGAAGAGCATCCCACCAAGACCCAGCCTCCCTACCCTATCCCTGTAACCCTGTATTTCCCACAACTAATCCACCTAACCTGCACATCTCTGGTCACTATGGGGCAATTTAGCACGGACAATCCACCCTAACCCTTTGCACCTCTTTGGATTTTGGGAGGAAACCCACGCAGACTGTGCAAAGTTCACACAGTTGTCCAAGGCTGGAATCAAACCCAGGTCTACCATGCCACTCCTTTCTATATTTTCCTTCACCGAACATGAACGTTACTGATGAGACTAACACTTGTTGTTTCACCCTAGTTGCCCCTTGAGAAGGCGATGAGAGCTGCATTCTTCAACTGCTGCAGTCCATGTACTTTAGGTAGATCCACAATGCCCCTTAGGGAGGGAATTCCAAGATTTTAACCCAACAACTCTGAAGGAACGGCAATCTGTTTCCAAGTCAGGATGGTGAGTGGTTTGGAGGGGAACTTGCAGAGGGTGGTGTCCCCATGTATCTGTTGCTCCTTTCCTTGTAGTTGGTACTGATCCTCTGGTTTGGAAGGCTTTGTCTAAGAAGCCTTGGTGAATTGCTGCCGTGGATCTCATAGTTGCTAGAGACTGCTGCCGCTGTGAACTGGTGGTGGAGGGTAATCAAATTGGTTAATAGATGGAGTGCTGATCAAAGGGGCTTATCCTCTGAATCATTTCGAGTTTGAATGTTGGAGCTGCACTCAGCCAAGCAAATGGGAAGTTTTCCATCACAAAGCAGTTTAGGATATCTGGTTGGCACGGTGAAGTTGGGCCGAAGGGTTGGTTTCTGTGCTGTATGACTCTATGGCACTCCTGGCTTGTGCCCTTGACGATGGTGGCCAGGCACTGGGGACCCTGGAGGCAAGTTACTTACTGTAGGATTCCCAGGCCCTGGCATGCTGTTATAGCCACTGTCACTGTGATGAGTCTAGTTCAGTTTATGCTCAATGGGGAATTCATTGATGGTAATGCTGCTGTGTGTAATGGCATATGTTAGATTCTCTCTTGTCGTAGATGATCATTGCCTGGCACGGTGTGACATGCATGTTCTTAAACCCCTTATCAGTCTAAGACCGAGTGTTATGCAGGTGTTATAGTCCGTGATCACGGACTGCTTCTCTATACCAAGAAATGAAATTGAATATTACACAACTTTCCCAAGTGAGGTGCAGCAGTCTCGTGTTCACATAGAATCAAATAAAAATTGTACCACAGAAATAATGCATTAAGCGCAAATGGCCTGTTTGTAATTCTAATCAACTTTCTCTATTTAAAGCAAACCCAGATTAAGTAAAGATTGCAGTTGACAAAAATCCTCATTTTCATCAGCGTCATTGACCAACAAATCATCTTCATTGTCATCGTCGTCGTCGTCGTCATCATCATCATCATCATCATCGTCATCCTCCTCCTCCTCCTCCTCCTGCTCCTCCTTCTCCTCCTCCTCCACATCCTCATTTTTCCATGTTTGAAGGACCGAAGGTAAAGGGATCCCATCAAAATTCAGGCTGGGTTGAACAATCTCATCGTCTGGGGAAACGACCAGTGTTGCCATCCTGTTGGATCAGATATAAACAAGGTTGTGAGGAGGTGATGTTTAGGAGTGTATACATGGCGCAAATGTATTGCAGTAACTACATATAGTGCCTAACCCAGACAGAAGCAGGCCGTTTTGCCCATCTTCTCCATGCTGTCATTCAAATCTCAGAATCCAGTCTCACAAATCTCTTTGGGGCCTCTGCCCATCATTGGCACACCTAAGGCTGTGTGGTGTTGGGCAGCAGTGCTGGCTTTCCCCTTGGATTCTTTTCCAATCCAACAAACTCTCCCAATCCATGTCACTCATAATTCCCAACGTAATAGTTTTAGAATTTGAATTCAGTTAAAAAAGAAACGGGTAAAAGTTGTTTTTCCCTTTGTGTTTAATTCTCCCATTTTCTGTCTATTTGTCTCTCCCAATCCTTGTTCATCTGTCTCTCTCAAATCCCTCTCTGTCTGGCTCTCCCAAATCCCTGTCTGCCTTATGCTCCTGGTCCCTGTTGGTCTGACCGTTCCAGTCCTGGTCTGTCTAATGGTCCCAGTTCCGGTCCATCTGACTCTGCCGTTCCCTGTTTGTCGGACTCTCCCAGTCCCTGTCCATCTGACTCTCCGTGCTGCTCTCTCTTTCAAGATAGATACAGAGAGAGAGAGAGAGAGAGCCATGAGTGGTGGTAGTTTAATTGGATGGTCACTAGGCTTCACGCTAAGGGAGAAGTTGAGAAAGCAGACCATTCATAAGTGACTTCAATCAGAAACCACATTGTTGGTGGCAAACTATGTCTCAAACAAGCTGTCCAGTCAACTGTGCTCACTCACCTCCCACACCCATCCACTGTTATTCTCCCTCTAACTCCTAAATTCCCTCTCATTCTCTATGTTTCTCTCACACTCCCAGTTATTTTGAACTATCACATTCCCTGATATTCTCTGCCTGTCTGTCACAAACCACAGTGAAACCAAGACGGGTTAACACAAGATCACTGACAAACCTACAAAGGTGGTCTGGTCCATGTCCTCCAATGAGCAGGCACCAAGAGAAATCTTTAACAGTGATGACAATACTGCAGCTCAGCAATGGCCTAGTAGCATTATCACTGGACAGTTAATCTTGAGACCTGGGTAATGTTCTGGGGACGTGGGTTCAAATCCCACTGTGGCAGATGTTAGAATTTGAATTCAATAAAAAGGAAATCTAGAATTAAGAGTCTTGTGATGACCTCAAATCTATTGCTGATTGTCAGGGGGGAAAGCTCACTTGGTTCAGTAATACCATTTAGAGAAGGAAAGTGCCATCCTTATTTGGTCTGGCCTACTTGTGACTCCAGACCCACAGCAATATAGTTGACAATTAGGGATAAGCATTAAATGTTGGCCCATCCAGTGAAGCACACATCATGTGAATGAATAAAAATTAAATCTGGACTGCTTTACCATCTTTTACCAGATCGCTCCTTAATGTTTCAGCATTTTTGAGCTGTGGATTAGGAAAGTGAACGAAACACTTTAACAGAAGGAAGGAAGAGGGGCTAGATCCTGAAGGGTTTAGTGAAATCTCGCCTTCCTGAAAGCAGCCGTGATCCTCCACCATCCCTCTCTCCACCACAAAAACTGATGATTTGGTGGTCTCATCCGAAGGCGACACGCGCTGCGCAGAGAAAGGCGACTGAGCTTTTCCAGAACTAGCTTCCAGCATTTTCAATGGTCGCATAAAGTGTGGACAAATTGAAAAAAAATATTCTTCACATTATTCCTGTGACATTATGTTTTCATTCTGCTTATACACAGAACGAGCTTGTTGGCAAATCAGATTTTAAGGGGCTGCCTTTGCTATCTTAAAGCTCCACCTCTGATATTCGATTTTGCATGGTTTTACTGTATTCCCTTTATTCCCTACATGTACATCAGAAATCTTACCTCTGCATAAAATCCATCATACCCTGGAACACAAAGAACAATACGTGACCATTTGTCACCTGAAATGATTAACACAAACACACTCACCCCACCCCAGCTAATAATGACACACCCTCACATCAACTCTTACATTGTAGCACTCAAACTTGTACCTACACTCACTCATACACAAGCATGCTTATACCAACTAATGGAATACTTGAGCGTTTATACATGCAGACTAGCAAACACTTACACAGAGAGAAATTGAAAATTCACACTCAAATTCATACATGTCCTCACAACGGAAACACTCCCCACAGGGTAGATCAGGATACTGTATAGATGGAATGAAGTTAAATACCATGTCCAAAGAGACCTGGGAGTTCAGGTACACAGATCTTTAAAATGTTATGATCAGGTGCAGAAAATAATCAAGAAAGCTAATGGAATTCTGATCTCTACATCTAGAGAAACAGAGTACAGAGATGCAAAAGTTATACAAAACCCTGGTTAGACCCCACTTGGAATACTGTGAGCAGACCTGAGCACCATACCTTAGGAAGGATATATTGGCCTTGGAGGGAGTACAGTGTAGGTTTACAAGAATGATAATTTGACTTCAGGGTGATGCTGGAGATTATACAAATTAGATCAGTTTTCTCTAGAATTTAGATGGTTAAGGGGTGATCTGATCCTCCAGTATTTAACAGGAAAAGACAACAGGTAAAGATAAACTATTTTTTACTGGTTGAGGATTCTAGAACTAGGGGTTATATCTGAGAATTAAGGCCAGACCATTCAGGAGAGATGTTAGGAAGCACACAAAGTGTGGTAGATGTCTAGAAGTCTTTTCCAAAAACAACAATGGATGCAGGATCAGTTGTTAATTTTAAATCTGAGAGAGAAATATTTTTGTGAAGCAGAAGTAATAAGGGACATAGGCCAAAGGCAGGTTTATGGAGCTAGGCCACAAATCAGCCATAATCTCTCTGAATAGTGGCACAAGAGACTGAATGGCCCAATCCTGTTTCTACATTTCATCTGTTCGATAGTTCGATGTTTGGGATATGAGGGATGATTGAGAGTAACCCTGTAACACAGACTGACCTTATAGCGTACACACAGATGGTCAGATTTAAACACACTTCAGACATTCCAAGCCCAGAATGCCAAGGGGATATGACACCCATATCCTCACTGAGTCCTAGATAAACGAAGGACCTTCCAAGGTGGTGAATCCTGACCAAATACTGTTGTCAATCCCTGCATCTGGATGTTAGCCAGGCAGATGAGCAATGGATTCAGTGAGTTTTCAGGATTGGAGGGAAAAATCATTTCTCACTTCCACACTGGGGCGGCATGGTGGCTCAGTGGTTAGCACTGTTGCCTCACAGCACCAGGGACCCGGGTTCAATTCCACTCTCGGGCAACTGTCTGTGTGGAGTTTGTACATTCTCCCCGTGTCTGTGTGGGTTTCCTCCAGGTGCTCCGGTTTCCTCCCACAGTCCAAAGATGTGCAGGCTAGGTGGATTGGCCATACTAACTTGCCTATAGTGTTCAGAGATGTGTAGATTAGGTGGGTTATAGGGGAATGGGTCTGGGTGGGATGTTCTGAGGGTCAATGTGGACTTGTTGGACTGAAGGGCCTGTTTCCACACTGTAGGGATTCTATGACATCTTCTTCCCCACCTATGGTTGTGAGTGGTATGATGATACTATGGCTTTAAGAGGGTTATTTTGTCCTGAGTTTTTTTTTGTGCGAAGAAAGGCTGAGACAGAGATGTCCAGTGGTCTGCTCAAAGCCAATAATGTAAACAGCTTGTGAGGCCTTGGGACTTTATTAAAAGTTGGAACAATAGAAGCAGCTTGACTGGGTTTAGTCAAGCTCCCAAAGAACCAGGATTTTTTAGTTTTAGCTTTCTGCAGCTGCTGGCATCTTGAAACTGGATGTGGAAGCTCTTATTCGTCATAGAATTGCTACAGTGCGGAAGCAGGCCATTCAGCCCATCAAGTCCACACCAACCCTCCGAAGGGCATTCTACCCAGACTCACCCCCTGCGTTTCCCACAGCTAACTCACCTAAGCTGCACACTAGGGGCAATTTAACATGGCCAATCCACGGAACCTGCACCTCTTTGGACTGTGGGAGGAAACTGCAGCACCTGGAGGAAACCTGCACAGACACAGGGAGAGCGTGCAAACTTGACACAGATACTCACCTGAGACTGGAATCAAACCTGGGTTCCTGGCACTGTGAAGCAGCAGTGCTAACCATTGAGACAATGTGTCTCCTCTGTTACAGCTAAAGCCTTGGGTTCTCTTCCTGCTGCTAAAATAACATGTGAGGCAATCTACTTTATTGAATTTGCCTTTGCCAAGTGTGTGTTTATTGGATGTTGCTACATTGTAACATTAATTAGTATTAGTTTATATATATATATATATATATATAATTTTTGTTCAGCATTTTGACAGAGTTACAATTAAGCCAATTCTTTTCTTTGATTTTTATTTCGTCATTTTATTTTAACTGTCATGTAAAAATAAAGTGAGTTTTGCTTAAAGTTGAGCAGTTTAACCTATCAAATTGCGTCTGGAACTCAATGCCTTACACTTACCTTTAAAATAAGAAAAAATTAGGGTCTGGGCTATCTTCTTAATATATTTTGAGGTGTTTGATCTGGTCCATAAGGGTGGGTGTGTGTGAGAATGCGTGTGTGAGTGACAAAATGATTGAGAGTGAGAATGCGTGCGCATGTGTGTGTGTGTGTGTGTGTGTGTGTGTATATGAGTGGTGTGTGGTGTGTCTGTGTGTGGTTAATCTGTGTGTGTATGTGTGTGGTGTGTCTGTGTACGTCTCTATGTCTGTGTGTATGTGTGTGTGTGAGTGAGTTGTGTGCGTGTGAGAGAGTGTGGTGTGTGTATGTGTGTGTGTGTGAGTGAGTTGTGTGTGTGTGGTGTGTCTGTATGTGCGTGTGCGTGCGTGTCATTTGTCTGTATGTGTGTGTGAGAGAGGTGTGTGTGTGTGTGTGTGTGTGTGGTGTGTCTGTGTCTATGTGTGTGTGTTTGTAAGTGGTGTCTCTGTGTGTGTGTGTGTTGAGTTGTTGTGTAAGTGTGGGAGTGACAGTGAGTGTGAGAGTTATG